ATGATACCTTTATAAGATATTACAAATGGCGACGAGGCAAAAACAGTAATTGTGAACGCGATCGAAAAGGATAAAACAACCATTTAACGATGACGAACGGCAGGAATAGTAGTAATGCCCAAGGCGGGAATGAGAGTACTACTATACAGCAAGTCCAAATGTATGGTACTATGGGAACTTTGGCGGAGTTCAGAATCGATGGCGACTGGAATGTGTACCAGGAGCGGATGGAGCAATTTTTTTWGGCAAATGGAATTCCTGAAGAACGTAAGGTACCATTACTAATAACATGCATGGGCGAACAAGCATATAAGATGCTTAAGGATTTATGTGATCCGGTGAAGCCAGCTGAGAGTACATATGAGCAACTATGCAAGGTACTGACTAGGCAGTTTGCTAAAAAAGTATCRGTTTATAGAAAAAGAGAGGAGTTTTATAATCTAAGACAGAATGCTAATGAGTCCATATCAGACTGGTATGCAAAAATGAAAACTTTTGCAGCGCAATGTAGTTTCGGACTAAATTTGATACCAGTACTAAAAGATAAATTCACTACTGGGATGAAGGATGGTCCAATCAAAGATCGTTTGTATGAAGAAGAAACGACCAAGGATTTGAGTGAGCTGGTGGAGATTGCAATGAAGAAAGAAGCCGCAATCAAAACAACTAACATTGAGGTGCATTCGATTGGGAGAAGCAGGGAAGGAGCTAAGAAGAAAAATGGTTATGGTTCGCAGAAGAAACTATCAACAACAATGGGAGGCGAGAAGACTTCGAAGAAAAATTATGATAAAGCTTGTTATKYATGTGGTCTGACAAATCACAGATTTTCAGAATGTAAGTATAAACAATATAAATGTAAAAATTGTAATACGGTAGGGCATTTGGCAAAAGTGTGTAAAACATTTAAAAATCATTTTGTTGAAGTTGAGGAGAATAAAGTTATGGATATGTTTCAAGTTGAGGTTAAAAGTGAAAGTAACTGCGGATTAAGTCCTGTAATGATAATGGTAAAAATTGAAAATGTATCAATTGAAATGGAAGTTGATTCAGGTGCAGGTATATCAATATTACCTGAAGAAATTGTGAAAGAGAAGTTACCTCATATACACATTAATTCTACGGTGTTAAAGMTAAGAACGTATGATGGTTCAATTATTAAACCAACAGGAGAAATTGAAGTAAAATTGAAGTATGGTGAAAGAGAGTTATATGGTAAATTATTAGTAGTAAAAAGAGGACATAGAGCTCTGGTAGGTAGAGATTTAATGAAAAAATTAGGAATAACGATTATGGGTATTTCAAAGATTGAAGTAGAGAGCACAAATAAGAATAATAAATTAGAGTTACTAATGAATGAATTTGAGGAATTATTTGAGGAAAAAGTTGGTAAATATAAATATGAAAAAGTGACATTGAAAGTTAAAGAAKGATGTACACCTATATTTTGTAAACCAAGACCAATACCTTTTGCTTTTAAAAAAAAAGTTGAGGAGGAGTTGGATAGATTAGAAAAGGAGGATATAATACAGAAAGTTGAGACTAGTGAATGGGGTACTCCACTTGTACCTGTGATTAAACCAGATGGATCTATTAGATTATGTGCAGATTATAAGACTACGGTCAATAAATATTTAGTAGATATTAATCATCCATTACCAAGAGTAGAAGATGTTTTTGTGGCGTTACAAGGAGGTAAAACATTCTCTAAATTGGATTTTTGAATGCTTATAACCAGTTAGAGTTATGTGAAAATACACAAAAACTATTAGCTTGGAGTACAAGTAAAGGTATTTATATAGTAAAAAGATTACCTTTCGGTACCAAACCAGCTTGTTCAAAGTTTCAGAGTGTTATTKAAAAAGTGCTGTTAGGAACAAAGGGTGTTAAAAACTTTTTAGATGACATTATTGTAACTGGTAGAAGTGAACAGGAACACTTAGATAATCTCAGGGAAGTGTTTAAAAGGTTAAAAAAGGCTGGGTTTAGGTTAAATAAAAAAAAATTTAGTTTTTTGTCAACCAAAAATAAATTACCTAGGACATGTAATTGGATCTGAAGGTATTGAAAGAGATAAAAATAAAGTTAAAGCTATGCTTAATGCAGTAGAGCCTAAGAGTGTCACAGAAGTAAAAGCCTTTACAGGGATGGTGAACTACTATGCTAAGTTTATACCAAATTTATCAACCTTACTAGGTCCTATTTACAATTTGTTAAAAAAAGAGG